CTCAGCAGCTCTGCTGGGACCAGTGAAGGGCTGCAGGATGTTTCCCAGAAGCAGGTTCGCTCGTTTCCCCCTCACCATGACTCTGGGAGGGAAGATGCTCCAGAGCATAGCCCACAACACTGGAAAGTCTGGAGCTAACCACAGGATGGAGTTTTATACTTGTCACATACCTATGTTTGCCAGCAGATATTTATTTGGGCAGAAAAGTGGGATGAGGAAATTTTATGGTGCCTTCTCATGTCTATAAAGGGTGTGCAGCGCCAATGGAGGGCTGCCCTGACCCTGGCTAAGCCAACCCCACAGCTGCTTTTCCAGGAGAGGGAAGACAGACCTCCCTGCAGACCCAGCAAAGAAGCCCACCCACCGCTGCGACGCGATGCATTAGCAGCACTTCGTTAATGCACTTTGACAATCACCCACCATTTCAGGCTCCCGGTGAAGGAAAGTGCCTTCAAAGTGCTGATGAATTTTTAGCCAACAGGCTACAATGTCCTCCCCTGGAACGTGGCCAGGGCACTGCCTCGGTGCCACTGGGGACACTGAGAGGTCCCCCAGCTTGGCAAACGCAGCACGCAAGCAACGCACCAGAAAAAATCCCAGGTAAGAAAAGGATTGGGCAGGACACCCTGCACCAGGCTCGCTGTGAGCACAGGCACCCAAGATTTTGAGAGGGGCCCGTTGTTCTAGGAGAAGGGAGTAGACAGGCAGCAGTGCGTGCTGGCCAGCTTGGTCTCCTCCAGAGCCTTCGAGCATGTTCGGGTTCACACCAGGGCTTTGCCCTCTGGAGCAGCAGCCGGTGCTGAGCGGGTAGCTGAGCACTGCGGCACCAGGAAGAGCTCAGCACCTCCCAAGTGGCCAGGAAAGGTTTTTGGCTGATGAAGCTGCTCCAGACCTTGCAGAACACAACACACAGTCCTCGCATGGCCAGGTCTCAGCGACTGCAAGAAGCACTGTGTGCACTACAGCTCCTGCAGCAGCAGGACAAGCCCCTGGCAGCCCTCACTGAGCTGGGACGAGGTTCCCTGGCACAGCTATAATTACAGCTACCTCCTTACAGCTCTGCTAGCCGTTACTAACACCCATCCTCAGAGACCTCCACGGCATAGCCAGGAGCCCCAGCGCCGCAGTGGCACAGGCACGGTGGCTGCGGGTGGCTCCTGAGCTGGGGCTGGGCATCCTGCATCGGGCAGAAGGGACGGGTTTCTGCTCTGGGGGGCAGTGCCTGGCCTCTCTGCACCTTGTCCCACGCTCTGCGCTGGCTGCAGAGTGAGCATGGACTATTAACTCCACCAGCTTGCCTTTGCAGATAAAATGTTTTTGTTTAGGCTTACGCTAGAGTTAATGGTCAAAGCTGCCACCATCAATTATTTATGAACACAAATAGATAGATGAGCTTTGTAAATTGGGTCTCTCATGCCCGTGTGCAGGCAGAGCTCTCATAAAGGGCTATTCTTGAACTGCTGACGGCCCCAAATTGGCAATGCAGTGGCTGGAGCTGGGGCTGAGCTCCAAGCCCCCCACAGCTGAGCTCCCTGCCATGTCCCTGGGATGGACCGGGCTCGCAGGGAGCCAGGATGCTCGAAAGAGAGGCTTTGCCCTGCTGCCAGCAGGAGCACAGGAAGGCTGGTACAAGCCTCAGTTTGAGAAGTTTTTCTCCGTGGTAGCTGTAGCCCATCCCAAATCACCCTGTGCACCAGGATCGGTGCTGGATCCACTTCGCTGACAACTTGAAGTGAGCTGATGGTAAATTTTTAAAAAACACAGCACATTGGGAGGGAGAATAACCCAGGCTGTGATCTTTTGATGGTCCAAAGCAGGTGAAGAGCCAGCCTGCCAGCCCTCCTCCCTGTGCTGTGCATCAGAGGGATGCAAAACCACATCCTTTGTTTTCAGCAGCGGTGCGGCAGATTGCAATTTTCCAAGCCAGGCACTGCAACCACATCGCTTCCAAGGAAAGACCGCAAGCGATCCCAAATATTCTCCCCAGACCTCCAGGCAGGCTCACCAGTGGGACCGAACTGGAGCATTATAAAGTTTAAAAGGGAAGAGTGGGTCACCCCGTTTGCCTCCCGCAGGCAGGAGGCAGCTGAGGCTGCCCTGGTGGTGACAGCAGAGGGGATGTCTGGGAGGTCTCGTCAGCTGCTGCCACAACCTGACAGGGAGGATGCAAACCCAGATGTAGCGAATGCAAAGCAGAGGTTTCCTCATAGAAACACCGTGGGAGTGCACCTAAGTCCTAATATTTGCAGATCTTCCCCAATAATTCCCGTAAACTTTGTGTTTTCTATTCCAGTTCAGGCTCTGAGCTGGAACGGGTCCAGAAACATGTCCACCGATGTAAAGCCCCCGAGCTGGCTCGTCTCCCGCCCCCATTCCTGTCACAGGCATGCTGCTGTCTCTCCCTTTTACATAATCCCACTGGCGTGAGGAGTGCCTGGCAGCCGGGGGAAGCATCCCAAGGCCGGGAAGCAGCCTGGGAGCAGCGCAGGCGCTGCGGGGCAGCCCTGCCAGGTGGGTGGCAGCAACACTTAGGGTCTGAGGGGGGATCTGGTATCAGTATTTTTAGCATAAATCAAGGGGCACCTTAACTTGCATATGATTTTAAGCAGCACAAACTGTATAGCTTAGCATCAGGGCCATAATTTGAGCAGAAAATTAACTGGGAAGGATTTCAGCTTCAAATGTAAGGGAGCTGAAGACTTTACAGGATTGTCATTGCAGCTGCTGGGAAAAGCCTTGGCTTCTCCGAGCTCAAGATTTCCCCTGGACTGAGGAACCAGCCCCAGAGAGAAACACAAAACATCAGCTCCATCACCACTGGTAGGCACCTTCCCTGACTAAATGTTATCTCAATTCAGCAGCACCATAGCTGAGCCTGGAGGTTTAGTCAGCTCTTCCTCCAAATTCCCCTTCACCTCTCCTCTTGGGGGAGAAATCAGCTCTAGTATGGAGAGATTCGGGAGCAGAAACAAGGATTAGTCATAAAGATAAAGCATGAGCCTTGTCACCACCCAGATGCTATTCCTGATGCAGCTCCCCAGGTCTCAGGCAGCCAAAGCAGGGGGAGCTGTCCGGGCTGCGCTGAGCACCAGAGCAGAATTCAGCCCTTGCTGTCAGAACCTTATCTACAAGTAAGCCAGGAAGAGTTTACAAAGGCCCAGCTTGGGAGGTTGCAGGAGCGTTTGTGGGCAGCAAAGAACAGCAATTACCCGGCATGTCGTACACCCGCGGGAGCCCCCGGGAAAGCAGCAGAGATAACTGCTGACAATAGTACTTGGTGCCCATCAGCCTAACGAGCAGAGGCCACAACTTAGTAACAGATCATGTCTCTGACCAACGCGATCGAAGACGCATCTCCCACAGATGCACTTACAGGGAAAACTGAGGCAGGGAGGCGCAACAGCTAGGACAGGGCTGCAGGAGGGGATGGAGGGGACACAGGGTGGCACTCCTCCACCCATCCCTACTCCACTGGGACTGGAGGACAAGTTACCCTGAGATTGAGCGTTTCCTCTCCAGGCAGGACCCTCCAACATCCCTCAAACACTGCCATCCCCACAGCCAGGCCCAGCACCCCCCTGGTACCCCCAGGAGCACTGAGCCTGCTCCCTGGGCACCCTGTCCAGCTGGGACCTGGGGCTGCGAGATGTTCACCAGCAATTCTGCTCTCTCCGCACCCCCGTCTCACTGCAGGAGCAGTGCCTGGACCAGTCCTGCTGCCAAGCCCGTGCCGGGCCCAGAGCAGCGGAGGGAGCGTGCAGCCTCCCTGCTGGAAGCTGCTCCCAGCCGGACGACGGGAACAAGCAGTTGGGAAGGCCGGGCAAAGCCTTGCTATTAATTGACAACCATTCTAGCAACTCGCTGCGCATGACACCCGAGCGTCCCGTTCGCTCTGCTCACGCACGTGTGGCTCCTGGAGAGTTAACGTGGGGATTCTCAGAGCAACGGGACTGTCCAAACCGAGCCGTGTGCTGCACTGGGACCTCAAGTAGCGGTGCTGGAGCCTGCCTGGCTTCGCAGCAGCCCCCAGGACCGTAACGCTGGCGCAGAACTGGAAACCCCTGCAAAACACCCCGAGCGGGCACCACGGCCACACAGGAACACCGGCCACTGTTCCCTGCGCTGGGAACAAGCACAGAGCCCTGCACCCCTCACCGCCCACCCCAGGCCCGTGGAGAAACCCCCTCCTGCCTCTGGGCTGCTCAGGGAAGCAGCATCTCTGCCTTGGGAAAGGTGTGTGGAGCATCCTCTCCCAGCCCCCCAAAACGCCACCCCTTAGCTGCTGAAAGGGACATCCTGAGCAGGCAGAGACCAGCCACAAAAGTCATACAAATCCTCCTCGTTTTCCGCTGGAGGCATGACAGAGAAGCTGATCGGCTGCCCACACTGAGCACTTCAGACTGGAGTCACAGCTGGTCGTTATTTTTCCTGCCTAGGTTAAGAGGAATAAAAATCAGTAAGATGCATGAGGCATTTTGTAAGAACACCCATGGGATTTTTTTTCTCTGCATTTCAGCTAAAATGGGCTTTGATCTCATCATCACTAAGCAAAGCAGGTGGAAAGTCAGCAAGTAGTCACTACAACGAAATGGTCCCCAAGGCAGCTGTTTCTCTTCACTCCATACAACACCCTGCAAATGAACTTTTCCTGTCCAGCCTCAGACATGACCTGCTAATTGCTTGTTCTGCTCATTAGTACCCATGTAAATTATGCTGAGCACTTAACAGAAACCATCTTAACACCACGGTTGTAAATGCACAGTGTGTATATAATCTACCCAGGCAAGTGTTTTTTTTTTCTGTATGAAATCATAAATCCATACACCTGCAAAAACTAACACCCAAATACCATTTAGTTATGCAGAAGTTTAAAAAAATCTATTAATAACCTCAGCAGGGAGCTGCTCTGCAAAATCAGATGCATCCAGGCAGGTAATGCTTTAGAGGCAAAGTAAAGAGCGATCACTGCAATGTAACAAAGACCGATACCGTGACCATACCTATATTTCATGCCCGTTTGCTTTGCGGTGGATTCTTTTAATGAAATGTGGTGCTGAGGGGTAAATGTCCCCAAACTGCGAGCAATAATTGCCACTGTCCGAAATTTTGCCCGGGCTGCATTCACTACGTTCGGGGTCGTGGTGTTCTGCTTGCTGATGAGTCTGTCGTCACCATTTCGACTCTTCAAGTTGTGCTCGGTGCAGGCGATGGACACTTGCATCGCGCC